GAGGTACAAACGAAACGAAAAGCGGTACAAACGAGTACAAACGATTCCAAATAACAGGGAAAAAACAGATTTTAAGAATCTCAATGTCGGGTGCTGATCATTTTCGCAATTCTTTTTATTTATTAATCGATGAAGGTACAAACGAAACTACTGGTGGTACAATCAAGCACCAACGAAATACTATAATTTTCCATAAAAGAAATTAATTCTTGAAAAGTCGGATGCCAAGTTCACATAGCTAAAAAAATCTCCATAGTATGTCCAAATCTAACGCGGGGATAATTTCATATGCGGCCCGCGTGTCTATTTGTTACGCGGACAAGGGGCCCGAAAAACCGCGAATGTTGGTATTTCCGAGGCCTGTACTTTTCCACGTGGAAGAGGGCCATTCGTGCGAAAAGCGAACGGCCGTGAAAAATGATCTTGGATCCCTTTAAATCGCGAACGAACGAGACGACCGTTCGGCCGAGGGACTGCAACGAAGAAACCGGTCTGCCTCTCGTTGTAACAATTTCTAACTGCGAATGCAAATAAGCGGGCCGTCCAGCGAGTCAAGAGGCCACGGGAAGCGGACTCGAAACTTCACACCTGTAACGATGAGACGCACTCTGCCACGGGACACCCATGCGAAGTCTGCTGAAACGACGACGCGCTCGTGAGATATTTTAAGGAGTCCGTTCGTTTTGAAATATTCCGTCAACCCAGGTGGTTGCAGTTTAACCGTTTGACTGCCAAGCAATTCTTGCAAGAACGCTCGAAAACCGCGGGACCATATTTTCACTTGATGTCGCTGCTTTCGAAAGACATTGTCAAGACACGCCGAAACTCGCAGCGGAAAAGCGCTTTTTCCGTTTTCGAGACAAACGAACGCAGCGCTTTTGCGTCGCGTAGCAGTCGAACGGTTAAATAATGCGCCGACCGACGGAAAACAATTGAAAATTGAATTCCAGAGCCATCGATTAACCAACCATTACCCAAAAGTTAGCAAAGGGTTAAGTTGGCTAATTTAGATAAATTGCGACGGATATTGTAACAAATTGTCCGAAAGCAGCGCGACCGAATACAACGCAAGGGGCGAGCGATTAACAAAAAAAACTAACTCGTTCGCATCTCGAACGCGTCCTGAAAAAAGTCGCAGCACTCGCGAGATGACCTACTACACATGCGACTGTCGGTGTACGCGACGTCGCTAATTTATGGCAGCCGCCGAATTGACGCTACCTCGTGCTCGAAAACACTTCAGTCTCTCGAACGCCGAGCTAATGGACTACGAAACTTCAACGTCGAAATCGCGTCAGTTTTTCTATACTTGTTCGAAGTGTGCCAAGTATTCGGAGACGACACGAGAAACCGGTCGATAGCTCGTTACGAAAGATAGGACTGCGAACGCAAATGACCACCGTGTAGCGAACTCTGTTAGAGTCGTTGAAAAAACGTCAGGTGTTCTCGTAGATTTATCTCACAAGGGAACATATCCAACCGTCCGTCTCCGATTTCGATGAAACTTGGTGGGTACGTTAAGCAGGTGAAAATAAGGGACACGTATTTTTTTTATAGCTGCCCAATCGCAAGGTTAGGGATTGAAAAAGTAGGAGAGAAAATTTGTGTTCGTTATATAGATTTTTGTATCTCTTACAAACAATGTAACAAAATGTTTGTTTGTTACGAAGAAATTACATTTTACAAAATCTGTGACCACTTCGTGTTTTACCCCATTGCATCACGAAACTTTTACCCGAGAAGATTTCTTACAGCTATTGCAGTTTTCGAGATAGCATTTTTCTGCTGAAGCTTCAAAGGGTGATTTCAACCCCTAAACTTGCGATTGGGCAGCTATGAAAAAAATACGTATCCCTTATTTTCACCTGCTTAACGTACCCATCAAGTTTCATCAAAATCGTTTGCGTTTTTATTTAAAGTGTTAAAGGAAAGTTTACATCTTTATTACACTACTGTGTGATGTATTTTTTTTTTTTTTTAACTATTTTTAACATTTCTTACAACTCATACGATTTTCTCGTTCTCATCCATCCATTCCTTTGTCGTTCTTTACATTTTATTTTAAACTTTCACCCTTCCGTACTTGGTCTCTGTTTTATTTCTTCGTTAAAAAAAATTCTCTGTATCGTTCCAATTTTAGTACATGTACTGCCAAAGCAAGTACCATCAAAATCGGAGACGGACGGTTGGATACGTTCCTTGACGGTCTCGTCGTCGTTACATTCGTTTGTTTACACGTTTATCATCTTCTACGGAGCAATCGATTACCCAGATCCTAACCTCTTTAAAAAAAATCCTCCCGTAACATCCGACTTCCCCGAGCATTCGATTCTCTAGTGTCCCGATTAGATTCTCGTCGCGACCGAATTTCACAATATCCTTGGTTAGGTTCGTAATCATCGACCGGCGCTTCTTTATTTCGCAGGACATCGTACATTCTCCCCGGCAAGCCATTGTACACGACCCGTGTTTCGACTATACCCGTAATTAACGTTTCTATACCGCAAGTTTCTCATACGTCAGTTTGTCATTAACTTCGGTGACCGTGGGTTAATCGCGCGTGTCCGATTCTTGTACGAGCGATCCGTACTTTTACACTTTTCTTTCCAACCGACCGTTCTTCCATATTTCGACTTTTCACTTCGCCGGAGAGATCGTTACGAAACGGTCGTTTCACGCCGAAAGTGGAATCGTTTAACCGAACGATTCATCGAGACACTTCGAGGACATCCATGCACATTCGGGTTTCCGAGACGTACGCCATGCGAAGTAACTATATTCGCGTTCCTCGAACGTATTTTACTCCGAACGTGTTTAACTCTCTTTCCGAGACGTCGAATCGTTTAAACACTCATAGAATAATCGGCGTAAACGAATCCCGTTCTATCGGGAAATTCGATCCCGATATACTGGCCACTGGTTTCGAACGATGGGTACGAACAGGTTTCGCGAGATTTGTTTCAGACGGCGACGGTCGATAGGATCGTAGCCGAGTGTCGTCGTTAATTAAAAATGTATCGAAAAGAGTGTCAAAGGATCGGTGGTCGTAGGTGGTCGAAAATCGCGACGACGTACGCGTACGGAGCGAGGCGCGGTCGATAGGGACACTCGAGTGTCGCGATCGGAACGGACACGTTTGGAGGAATTCCAAATCCCTCTGGTATAACCAACGTTTGACAGGGAATTGGATAACGCTCGGTTGGGGCACGAGAAGATTTTCCAGGGGCTGCCGTAGACGGTTACGGGGGAGCAAAACGGCAACAGCGAAGGTATTATCGATTTTATCAACTAAGGGGGCTAGGGGATTCTTTCTCTGGTGTGCAGTCACGGGGTGAGTCAGAAAGGGTTTGCGTAGCGGCGCATCGTGAAAAGCTGGTCGCCTACTCACCTTCGGATAACTCGAGATCCAGCTCAGCAAGTTTCTCCCGCACGTCCTCCGGGAGTTTGCCGATGTCGATGTTGAACTCGGCCATCGCTAGGCCATCCGCGCTGAGCCGAGATCACCAATTCTCCAGCCGTACATTCCACGACCCGTCACCACCGCTCGGCCATCTTGCCTTACACTGATCCGACCAACCGCCGCCAGCTAGCGACACCGTTCGATCACCGACCCGCGCAAGCGTGCGTATTCGATCAGTGATCAAATAATGTATTAGCTCGACGTACACCAAACGTCCTCTTTTTCGCTAGATTCAATTTCACGCCGTGATAGATGGGTTAAACGATATTTCATTCTTAATCGTTGCACCCTCCGAGAGGCTAGTCCTAGCGGAATTAAAAATAGAACGAATTTTCCTGCGCGAGTCCTCCATTCCTATTCATTCATTTCCCATCTAACGTCCTCCTTGTAGCTCCTCCTAAAATTTAAAAAAATTTTTTAAATTATTGGATGCGATTTACCGATGAGAGATCATATTTACGCTCTTCTTTTCTTTTTTCGTGATTGCATCATAGTCGTCTCTCTCTTAACCGGTACTCGTGGAAGCGGACCTCCATTTTGTAAACAAATCGCCGCGCGCTGGTTAATTCGAAAATATACCCCAAATGTCACCTATTCATCGTAAATAACATACAATACATATAAAATCTACATACAATACGTAATAACGTATAATATTCCTAGATAAACTAATGGTTCACACTTAGAAACATACTCACTATTCTTACCTACTATTTGTTACTATTCTATCGCCTGTTACCTCATATAGGTCCGATAAATTAAGATAATGAACCAAGTTCGATTTCTTTTTATCGAACCAAGGACGTATTAGATTCTAAAACCTTTCGAACAACCTTACGTGTACAATTTTAAGGCCGCCACGTCTGTAAACGATTGTCAACATTTCATTTTCATTTTTATTTTGTATAACTGGTTTGAACCATTCTGAGCAAGCAAATTTCCATTGTCAACAAATAAATATAATAATCACTGTAATAATTATACTCCGAAAAAGTCCACGTTGTAAAAGGATTTTACGGCCGTCATGCGATCTTACCTTCAGAGGAAGTACAGTATTTACGCGGGCGATTCCATGAGACTGTCAGCGATCGTGCGACCTAACCTCCAATATATGATAGTTTAACGTTTCGAAACTGTAAATGATTGTAATTTTTCTAATCCTCTCGAGACCATGGAAATACTAGAGGATCCAGTCTTCAAAACGAAATATCAAAAATATAAAGTTCGTGTCAAGTTATGGGAAAGCGACTTCACGAAAAAATATGGTCGCAAGCCTAATAAGGTACGTGACAAGTTTTTTTACATTTAAGGTATAAATTCGTTGAGATCGAGTTACTTAGGAATATCAGTGACGATTTTTCGATTTCGTTTTGCTATTAAACGGTATCGGTCGACTAGTTTATGTCAGTACAAATTAATACTGTATATTTATATTTTTTCAGAACGATATCAAAGAGGCCGATATAAAAATTAAAGAATCGTACAAAATGTATTGGAAATTGAAAACGCGTGCTTTGGAAGAAACGCTCATGGATATTACATTTTCTGACGAAGTACAAGACAATGTTTCTGATAAAACGTTAACGCAAACAGCAGTTGAAGAAATCAAGAATAATGACAAATTATCGATAGCAGAGAATGTGAAAAGTACAGACAATACAGATAAAAAGGATGTTGAAAGTCTAGATGAAGACAGAATAGAAATTACAAAAGAAAAAAGTATGGAAAATATAGGTAAGACGGATGCAGAAAACATAAATCCACATTGTTGTGAAAATCAGCCTACCAGTAACAATTCTACAACAGATACAATTGAACCCAAAAATATAAACGGGGTGTGGGGTGATCACTTAAGTAAGAGCAACGAACAAGTGCCAAAAAAGAAACAAACTCTACTTATAGGTAAATCCTCTTCTTTTCAATTATCGCAAAATAAATTCACAAGTTCAAGTTTCACAAAAAGAAATCCTAGAAAATCATTATCTACGTCAAAGATAAAAAATAAATCTGAAAAAAATAGTAACATTGATACAAGCAAGAATACGGAACAAACTATGAATGAAGACAAATGTAAAAAAGACAATCTTGATGCTAACGAAATAACGACGCCTATGTTTGGTGAACCAGTAAAAGTTAAATACGTAGAACACAAATGTGCTACTCAGTCAATTAGCACGGTACAGCAATTAATGGAAGGTCATACTGTTAATAGAAATTTGAATTCGGGCTGGCTGGAAAGGTGTGCAAGACAGAATAATTTGGAATACTCGATATCCGATTTACAGACGCTCTCTGGTACGAGCGATTCTGGAGTTGAATCTATGGAATCCAGTATTCAATCCCCTAAGGAAGATGTGCCAATGCTCGAGCCAACTAAATCGGTACAAATATCGGAAGACGAAGATTTTATTTGTAATAGCGATTCCGAAGAAGAACGTAGACATAAACGTATTCGAAACATTAAAAAAAGACTTAGCGATCAAGAGAATTACCCCGCAAAGAGGTTATGTGTCGATAACTGTACGAGTACTTCCGTTGAACTACTACGTGAAACAAGTATCGTACATTCCACTGGGAATGTTGATACAACTTCTAAAGATATTACCAATAAAAATACAAACAACGTTACAAATTTGGTCAACGGTAACAATAAATGCAGCGACGAAGAAAAATATGTATCGGAAACGAAAAACACGATCGTGCGAACGAATGAAAATTCGGAGACAATATCCACCGAAATACAACCATCTCATCGTAAATCTCGTAGAAGAATTAAACACATTTCATCGGACGATTCCGATCCAGATTTCGATGAAAACGATCAAAAACAAACAAAACAGAAAGTATCGAGGAAAACACGGCCAAGTAGTAGCAGAAAAAATAAAACGAAGGAAACGAATTCCAGAAAGGAGAAAAAGAATACAGCCGGAACAAGGAGGTCCTCTAGAAACAAAAAGAACGCGTCAGTCAGCGACGAAGACTTGTTAAAGTCCGAAGAAGGGTTAAATCCAGAAGATACGAGAAACAAAGAGCCTGCGATATACGCGATAGAAACTTTACAAACTGTTCCGCGTTTCGCCGTTAGGAAAAGTAATCGGGGAGACCTTATCGAGCAATGCGCCAAATCAGTTTCTTTAACGAACGACAATTCAACAGTCAGCTCTGCTGTACCTACAAAACCGAAAGGGAAATTAACGGACAAAGAGAAATTGGAGAAAAAGGTGTCCGACGGGAAGATAAACGAAAACTTTGTTAGAATAAATTTAAAAAAGAAAGTATTTGTCCGCGGTAAAAAGAACTTTAATTTCTCCAAGTACAAGAAGAATCAGTGGAAACAAAAGAAGAAAGAATTAGGGTCTGGCGACGGTAGTTTAGAGGTGGCGGACTTCGTCGAGAAACACAGTATATTGACCTGCTTTAAATGCGGCGACGTCGGCCATTTTTCGAGGAACTGTCCAAATAGAAAGGGCGACGATCTGATAGCATTGGAAGAGATAGACGAAGGTTCGCAGTTCCCTACTTTAGAAGAAGCGCAGCAAATGGCTAGTCAAAATGCGGTTATAGCACACTCTAATAGAATCGGTCGTTTGCCGCAGAAACCGTCGTTAGCTTTCGAGACGAAAAACGAAACAAAAGATTCGTCGTCACCTTCTAAGGGAGAGAGTGATGCAAAGGATGAAATCGTGAATGACGATTTATGGGAACCCATCGAAGATGAAGAATCTCTATGCGGGCACAAAATACCCGAGGATTTAATAGCAAAGTTACTACCCCCAGAGATTGCCGCTGTACCTGCACTGTATAAACTTAACGACGACCAATCGTGCATCGATACGCCACCGGAAGTGTTTGAGACGTTACGGAAATTCGGCCATGAGACTTTCAGACCCGGACAAGAGAAAGCGATAATGAGAATACTTTGCGGCCAATCGACGTTGGTCACTCTGTCCACCGGTTCCGGAAAATCTTTATGCTACCAGTTACCGGCGTATCTTTACTCCAAACATTCCAATTGCATCACTCTGGTGATATCGCCGTTGGTGTCTTTGATGGACGACCAAGTGACGGGTGTGCCGTCGTTCCTATCCGCGGCATGTCTGCACACGAACCAAACTCAGAAAGTGCGCGACAACGTGCTGCAAAGGTTGAAGCAAGGAAAACTGAACATCCTGTTGGTTTCCCCGGAAGCTGTGGTCGCCGGCGACAAATCGTCCGGCTTCGGCGGCGTATTTAGGCAGCTTCCACCGATCGCTTTCGCGTGCATAGACGAGGCCCACTGCATTTCCCAATGGTCCCACAACTTCCGTCCTTCTTACCTCATGGTCAGTCGTGTTCTCAGAGAAAAGTTGGGCGTGAAAACGGTGTTGGCACTGACTGCCACCGCGAGAAAGGCTACCTGCGAGAGTATAGTGAAGCATCTGAATATACACGACGGAATGGCGGGCGTCATCTCAGATATTCCGATGCCGAGGAACTTGTTGCTGACGGTCTCTAAAGACGAGAATAAAGATCAAGCTCTGATCGAATTGTTGCTAAGCGAAAGGTTCCGGGAGTGTAATTCGATTATCGTTTATTGCACCCGTCGAGAAGAGTGCGAAAGAATCGCTGGCCTCCTAAGAGTTTCCTTACCGGTATTCTATTATTTGTCTTGGTCGCTTAATTGTGTAATACGATAATTGCATGTGCTTGTATGCTCTTTAACAGGAGGACCGCAATGTCGATAAACCTAACAGTAAACTCTCCCCGTTGGCGGAGCCGTATCACGCTGGTTTGTCCGCCTACCGTCGGAAAATCGTACAGAAGGCGTTCATGGACGGGCTAACGAAAATTGTTGTAGCTACTGTTGCTTTCGGTATGGGTATCAACAAATCGGATATACGAGCGGTTGTTCATTATAACATGCCCGGCACGTTCGAAAGCTACGTTCAGGAAGTCGGACGAGCCGGTCGGGACGGGCTTCTGGCACACTGTCATCTGTTCTTACATCCTAAGGTATCGCGATGTTCTTTAACGAACATACTACAATTTATTCGATTTAATTAAATTTACTAATTGATTAATTTGCAGGAAGACAACGATAAGTGGGAATTACGTCGGCATATTTATGCAGACGGAGTAGACAGACATACGATCAGGCGTTTGCTTCAGAAAGTTTTTATTCCGTGTTCGTGCGCGGAGTTGCGGGAGAAGAATGCCGACTGCAGATGTCCTGGCCATGAAGTTGCTATGCCAGTCGACGAAACAGTCGTAGCGTTAGATATTTCTGAAGAAACAATATCAACCCTTTTATGCTATCTCGAGCTACACCCTAAGCGATTTATCACCGTCCTTTCTTCCGTATATGTAAGAGCTAGAGTGTCGAGTTATAACGGGCCTCAAGGACTGAAGCATGCTGTACAATCGGTGATTATTCGCAGTATTTATATTTGTTTATTCAACAGACTTTACGTTCGTAATACGAATATTAATATTTTAGTCACCGCCACTTGCAATGGCGATAGCGCTAGATTTGCAAAAAGGTATTTCTCATGAAGATAGTAACGTTATCGAGTTTCCAATCGTGGACATAGCTTCCGCTATCGGTTGGGATAGCGGAGTGGTGAAGAGCCATCTTAAAAGTTTAGAATGGAAAACAGGTGTGTTTTCGCTATTAATTATATAATATATTCTGTAGGAATAATTGATTGCATTAGGAAAAGCCAACTTTTATTTATTTTTTAGTTGACGGAGCTTCGAAGCGTTCGGCCATTTCGGTAAGATACGATAAACTCGGTTTAAGAGTAAGAGCCCCTGGCGATCTTAGGGAAGACGAGCTAGACGAAGCGCTCGATGCTTTATTTAGTCGTGCACAATCCCGAGAAACCTCGGCTTTGCAGCAACTCGAGACAATTAGCGTGACGCTTCATAAATTCAGCATGCGATCGGTGAGAGAGTGTCTAAAAATCGACGAACAAATTACCAACAAATCCGACCAATTGAAGAGCGTTATTCGGAATTATTTCGAAGGAGAAGTTCTATTAGATATCGATCCGAAGCAACAGGTACGGAACCTTTTACGATGCCGTATCATTTGGTCGTCGAAGCACGCTGAACACGTGTCCTGCGTTTTTGTTTCAGATGAAAGTGGAAAACGAAGCCCAAGTCGCCACCGATGTGCGAAATTTAATCGTAAGCTATCGCGAGAGTAATTTCAATGGACGCGCGATTGCTCGTATCTTTCACGGTATACAGAGCCCCAATTATCCCGCCTATGTCTGGAACAAGTGCCGCTTTTGGAGGGCTCATCTTTCGAGCAACTTCAATGCTTTATGCCAAATCGCAACGAGAGAAATTTTGGCGTTACGCTAGGATGGTACATTTTAATGATTTTCGAGGGTAAACTTTTAGCGATAGGTTCAACGCGTTATAGGTTATGTTCAATCATATGCAACTGGTGTATTGACTGAGTAATTTTATTTTAAAAAACTTAGAAAATGAAAGATCGTGTAACGTTTTATTGTTTCAATAACGAGTGACAAAAATTGATACAACTCGTGATATGTAAAATGTTTACTCGCGTGTGCCTTAACAGAGTAACTTATATGTATATATATATATTTTTTTTTTTTTTTACATTTTCGCCCGTCTTTGGAGCGCAGCGAGTCCTCGAGTTGCGCGGTTGTGCTTCCGAATGTACCAAATGTATCGTAGGTGTAAAACTCCCGAATAAATCAACCGTGTAAGTGGAGGGCTTACTGTAATTTTAACGTGAACGGTAATAAAGATTCGTTCGATCTTTGTACCGAGTATTCACCGCTACATCGTTACTAATAGTTGGTAAACAAATCCCCAATATAAAATCCTCTTCCCGCACCAATTGTTATTCTCTATTTCTTCCGTTTGCGTTAGTAAATTCGATTGATTTATAATGATACCGTCTAAATTAATAAAAGTCGCGAATAACTTTGTAACTTTCAATGATTATGTTCAATACGACGTTTCTGTTTTATCGAGACGATGGAACAATGCCTGGGACGCGGAACGTTTATTTCCTTCGTGTTCCCGCGAAGGAAGAAACAATTACTATTGATGCCGCAGCGCTTCTGTGACAATAGTTAATTTCTCACGTTACGACTCTCTTCATGTAATTACAATGTCGCAGGATCTTTTGCATACGTATTTGCTGCATTTTACCGACGCGATCCATGCAGGTTTCGTTCTGGCACACCGCGCAGAATTCCGACGATATCGCGTGAAACGGCGAACGAAAATAAACGCTGGCGTTCTTCAATGCTTTGTTTTTATGGTGGGCCCAAATGTGTAACGATAGCTCCAGAAACGACAGGACTGGCAAGAACCAACGGAAGCATACGAGCGCCATCAGAAACAAACAAATCGGATGTATTTGCCCGAAGCATGTACCAACGGGAACGGGCTCCAACTCCATCAAATTCTCGCTCTTCTTTAGTGAACCGTCCTTGGTCGACAACGTTTCCTTAACTTCTTTCGGGATCTGAAAAATTGCCATTTATTAATTACCGTTGTAAGCTTCCTTCGCGCTCGTTTCTCAGTAGTCTCAGTATCGCGTCAGACGGATACATGTTTATTCTACGTACCTTTTACGACAAACTTTAACAAACGCATTCTCAAATCTCTGTTAACTCTAGTTGTACGAATCTGATGCTAACGGAGAACTTACGACAATTCGGTTACTATTTGAAGTCCTCGTGAATCCAGGAAGGTTAAAATTTTTACAACCGCTCTCTACTTCAAGTATCGCACGCAATTACACGTTTCGTGGCTCGTTAAATTTTGTTTCTTTACAAATTAAAGAAACGGCATACATTTGATAGTGATCGGTTAACGTTAAGTTTCTCGTTACGGTCAATTTCTCAATACCTGGAATCGCATCCGTCGGCTCTTGGTTTCCGTTCCCACCACGCTGATCTCCGGCTCTCCCGTTTCGACATTGTTCACGGCGGCAACGTGCCGTCTTATCTCATACTCGGAAGCTGGCAAGCTAATGCTTTCCCCTGTCTCCTCGTCGACGAATATCTGGTCCATATTTTCCGGCGAACGTTACGTCGCATTAACGAATCGCACGCGCTACGCCTGCTCCCTCTTTGTTTTCCTTACGATACAAGTCTTCGTATTCGTAGAAGGAAAATAAAGTTTAATGTATTCGAACGTATGTAGTCGGATCCTCGGGGTCACTTCCCGGATACCGTGCTCTGCGCGGGTATTATTCTAATGATTAGGTAGCTTGGCGTGAAAACTTTCTGAAACAAGGCCAACAAGAACAATTCGCTATCATCGATTACGACCATTGATTCCTTCGGGACGTTCGATCGATGTATTCTTCATTTTCGACGTATAAATCGTTATCTACGGGAATGGAAGAAAACGAATCGAAAAATCGATCAGAAGAAAAATCTACAATTTCTGACAGACTCGTGACATGATATTACGATATCTCAGTTGTACATGGACCGATTTGATTGATTTTGGTTTTATTAGAAACCTTACATGCGATTTACATAACAAAAATGCCTTTAAATTTAGAAAATATTGCAGGTGTGATGAGATATTAATGAAAGAAGTTTCAGGTTAGGTTGGAATCGTAGTTTTACGAGTGAAAAATACGTGGTAGCGCCAGCGCCAGTATACACGGTGGAGTATAATTTTTCATGTACTTGGCGTCGATTAAAGTATTCGTAAGTACAGGGTGTCCCAAAAATGTTGGTGGTCCTTGAAGGCGGTGGTTCGGAGGGTGATTTGAAACAAGTTTTTCCTTAGCGAAAATGTTGTCCGAGACTTCGTTAAGGAGATATTAACGGAAAACATTGACCAATCAGAGCACGCGTATACCAGTGGAGCGACCACGCCCATACGCTACCGCAGCCGTGGTAGCGTAGGCTACGCGTTAGACGGCCCCGCCCCATTGGCATACTCGCGCTCCGATTGGTCAATGTTTTCCGTTAATATCTCCTTCAATAACCCTCGGACAACATTTTCGCTAAGGAAAAGGTTGTTTCAAATCACCTCTCGCACCACCCCTTTCAATGTCTTACAACATTTTTGGGACACCCTGTAGTCTGAATCGACCTCGCGCCATTTTGGAAGTTTGCGTTCAGAGCTCCATCTTCGGGACGACAACTTCGTATAATTTCGCGGTTCAATAAGGAACTGTTATTACGCTGTAAATAATGCAAAAAAGGTACTGAAAATTAATCGATGCAAATCTCGAATCGGCTTTTATGTTCGTTTTAACGTATTTATAATCGAAACGTTTGTATTCTACATATTCCATGTCGTGCGAAGAATTGATGTTAATAAAGGATAAAGGTTAAATCGCGTCGCACTAATCGACGCACGTAAAAGTTCGAACATATCGATCGTTAATTATGCATGATCCAAATTTTACCATACACCTGATACGATCTTTCGTATCGATTCGCAGTAACGCTAAGATGACAAACTCGAGAAACTATCGTCGTCCTCGGGATCTGGGAAGCATACGCACCAACTGCAACCGCACTTTCGGCAAGTGTTCGCGAGGACTCTACAAAAATACTCGGCCATGCAACACATGTTTCAGATTATAGTTTACGTTTGTTATACGCGACGAAAAAATTTTTAACCATAGGTTGACGACCGATAATTATCATTCGTCATTCGTTCGACTGAAGTTTGCCGAGAAGAAATTTACATCGAACGGATTTATTTCTTGTACAATGTCTGGTTAAAAAATCGAAGCAACGACGATATTACCTTGATCGATGAATTTTAAAAAAGGACTGCGTAACGAACGATCGAGAGTAATAATATGTTCAGATTGATCTCCTCAGAGAGCTTGATGTCGTAATTTGTACGTATGTAAACAAATTTTTCGTTAACGTTTTCTAAGAAACTAGTAGCGATATCAAAATGATCGATGATGCAATCGATGTGTATCAATCTAACTTAGAGCCGATTAGATTTTGTTCTAACTCGGTCCAGTAGTTTTTTAATTTTCTTAAGAAAACTTAACTCAATAACGCACTCTAGTTAGAATTTTAATTTGATTGAAAAATAATGAAAATCAATACGAATACAAGATACGTGTACTGCACATGCTTGATATCAAGGACTACTCTACGAATGTATTATGCAATCGCGGATGATCGTGAATCCTTTGTATAGGTGTCTTCCACTCGCATCATCGATTCTTTATCTGTATTCATTAATTTGAAATCTGGAAGCCCCCTGAGTTGTCTCTAAACATGACAAAAAACTATCCTTTGTGTTCTCATGAAAAGAGAACGTAACATCTATTTGGACGTAGCGATAAAAAATCTTCTAGTGAAAGGAATCATTCGAAAGAAAGCGGATAAAATTCGCGGAATTGAAAACGTAACCTACAAATGTCCCGATGAATCACCTGAAGCAACCGTTTGTTTCGTCTGTTGGCCGGTGGAATATTCCAAGAATAAAGTAAAGAAACACGCGATCAACGGTAATTGGTTGTAATTACGTTCAGATTGATATACGACGCGACGTGTATTCGAGATGCAGTAGCAAGTGTTCGTTGCGTAGCAAGCAACGACACGAATTTTATAAACGATTTACAGGCAATATAAATGCTCGCTTCGATTTATCTATTTTTATTAGGAATTCTTAGTAACCGATCATTAAAAGTAACTCCTCGATTAAACGTCTCGAATCTTGGTTAAATCTTCGATTTATCGTGACGAGTCGAAAGCTTACTTTTCGTACCAGTTGTTTTTGCAATTGAATATTATCTTCGTCGACGTAAAACAACAAAAGAAAACGCAACGTATACGTCGACTACTATAGCGAAGAAAGAACGGATAACGTAATTTTGTTTATATTAAAACAATTATTCGTAACATGTAAAGAATTATAAAAATTTCAGATTATCAAAATTTTCGGATCAGTGGTCGTTTATTTAAGGTGTTTTAGGTGATCGACTTAAAAACTTAAAATACCCGGCAGTGATGCAATAAACGAGCGCTGCTACGAGCAGCGAATATAAGTGAATATAATTCGAGACTAATACACTTACAGAAGCTACGCGATCGTAAATACGCTCATCGATAGGAGCGTGATGTGCGAAGGAAACTCGTTTTCAAACAAAGATCCAGGTTGCCACGATAAACGTCACTCGTTTTAGAGAATCCACCGTTCCGATCGAAGCTGAGATGGAATTTTACGTGGAGAGCACTGTATCGGTGATGAAACGTGACATAGTGCAACGATCGCACGACCGACTCGCGTTTATCTTATACCGCATCCGTAGTTCGACTGAAACTGAAGGTGTTCGCCATGATAACCTGTAACTATACGAATCGTAGATGGGCGTGTTTACCAATCATAGAGGTCTCCACAAGATGCACAGGATGAATACATTTCAATAAAAGGTTCTCGAGGTTCCTACGCGTAATCGTAACCTTATTTTAACTATCTTCCGTCTATTAATGATATCTCGATAAATATCCTAAACATCAATGACGAATAAAAGAGACAAAGTACCAAACCGACTGAACATTTTATAGAAAGTTCGACTCGCGAAAGCAATGCAGAATTTATCGAAACAGCAGTTGGTAAATATGGACCTTATCTTTATCGATAACGGGGATAGAAGTCCGATACTTTCGATTTACTTTTTCGCATCGAAAGATATCGTTGTTGTTAAGATAAATAAATAGAAAAATCAAAGCTACGATAAATACAGAAATTTTTTGATGGACGCAGTTATAAATTGTAAACTAAATAAAGAGCGTAGGGAAACACGAAACTCTTGGAACGAAATATTTTTCGAAAAAGAAGATCCGTTGCAATTCAGAAACCGAGTTTCGTTTGTTTAATCGATACGCGTTAGGTGGTATACGACGCGAAGTATTACGATTCAATGTTAACCGTTTGAGATACAAGTTTATCCGCGGTGAACAAAATGGATAAGAATAAAAAGCATAAAGTAAATAAAGAAAGTTTCGAACGGATATCCGTGTCTGGAGAAACGGAAGGTAGTTCGAAGTCGTTTCCTGTACTCGACGAAGCCGTTCCGAATAATTTGATACACAGAGTGTGTCGAAAACCACCTCGCAGTTACAAGAAGTAATTACAAAACGTAACAAATATAAAACATAATTAATCGCTGTTCAACTCTGCTTTTAAACTTTCGTACAGGGGGAGAGACGAAATACCTTTCTTTATACCGCACAAGAAGTTACTCGAAAAAATCGACCACAAGCCGGAAATAAGGGAACCGCTGGTAAAGATAGTTTTCCAAATTTCTTTCGATTCGTTTTCAAATCGAAAAAAAAATCTAACAAGTATTACCGTCGTAGACCGGATTTACCGATCAACAAGAGAAAATTAGAAGAGAAATGTGCAAACCTAGCACTCTACCAGTGGTAACGGAGACGGTGGATAAGGTGTCAACGAAGGACGTCGCTGTACGAGAAATAAAACGAGCATGTAACATTCCTGCATTTTTATAGCTCTTTATTTCCGCTTATTACATCGAAATTTCAATGTTTCAACATGTTGACGCCGTCCCGGTAGTTCGTTGCTGCGACGCGAGGCGGCGCTCGATCTCACTGTCCGTGTGGTGGGGCGGCGCGACATCCGTGGTAGGGGCAACCATGACCCACCGGTGATGCACGCCGGCGTCAACGTGTCAATACACGTATAATTGAAGAATATATTATAAGAATTTATTATTCATTCGATGGGTAGCACACGAACCATCACGGGATGAAGTCCCCGATACTATTCGAAAGCAAAGAGCAAGGCCAGATCCTGCGGCACCTCCGTTGGTCGATCAACTGGAACTGATTCAACGACTGCGAGACGATCCGAAAATTGGATTCTTTTACATGGACTACGCGGTAGTACGTTCTTCAAAATATTTCACACCTTACGCCTTGAAGTGAGTACGACGTCTCTGCTTTCCGAACTCGGCAAAGGACCAGGTGCAACGCGATCACATTTCTACTACATTTTTCAGGGTCGTTCATTACAAAGACCTACGCGATACTTACATGACGATCAGCGCTAGAGGCGTGACTCAATACAGTCCCGATGAAATGAGTTTCACCCCGATCGAACAATGGGAAAGAGAATACGTTTTTTATCTAAAATTATTAAAGGTTCTCTCATAAAACATTTTTACCCTCGTTAAGAAGTATGTGGACACTTCCTTAATAATAGAAATTATAGAAATATAATTAGAATTAGATATTAAGTATTATAGAATTAAATAGTAATTAGAATTAATAGAAATATTATAGAATTAGAATATTAATAGAAATAAATATCTAATGAAACTTTCTTCCTCTGCCAAACTTGTACGGCCGAATGGTCGCACTACATTTAACAACGAGCTTGTCTCGTGATTTTCAAGTTTGGTCTGCAATTTTTATCACGAGCCCGACTCGTGATTTTAAACTTTGGCCTAAAATTTTCATCCTAAGTCAGACTCGCGAAAATAGTGCAAATGCTTAATAGTTCTTATTTTTTAATATCGCATTAGTAACGATACAAAACTATAGAGATAACTAGATAACGTTGAAATTTTTAGCAACAAAAGTGGTATACTAATAATATACGGTGTATATTAATTATTCATCGAAGGGTAGTAAGTGTCCACGTATTTATCAACGAGAGTGTAAGGTTCGATATTAACATGATCTCTCATATACTTCTGGGAATTTCGTTAGATAAGGACCTTCGTTGTATTTCGCAAGTGGAAAGCTTTCTACGTCTGGAAGAAGTCAGTCTCTTGTAGGAAGTTCGTGGAAGGGAGGAATTATTTAGAAGAGAACCTCTTCATATCGGATCCCATCCTCAGCAAGGCTTTATTAGAGATAAAATCGATGTGCTCCATCTTTCTCAATTCGAGTTTCTTCGACGGCACCGAGATCGAGAGTTTCCTACTTTTCTATTTCGTAGAAAAACAGGTGAACCGTTTACTATCTAACAAACGCCGCTATAGTTCTGGGTCGGCATTACTCTATTCTGTAAATCCGTTTCTGCAGCTTGCCAAGTTAGAGTTGATGAGGAACAAGTTGGACGAGTTTAGAAGATTAGCGTTAGATATCGTCAACAATGCCTGTCTTGGAGCACTGTTGCAAGCTGGATACACCCCAGACGATTCCAACATAACCATCGAACAAACTGCTTATGGGAAGCTCGGTAACGCTGTTTAGTTTCCAACGAAACTCTTTTACTTTGTCTTACTGTCCGCAGATCTGTTCGAGTGCCACGCGATCGCGTTTCTTCTGTCCTGTTCTGAAAGCGCTAGCACTCTGGGCGGCCCGTGGCACTCAAACGGTTAATAAATGGTTCCACAGGGGTATTCGGTGTCGCTAAGTTCAAAATGCCGAAGGACGGTGTCCTTAAAATGAGTTACATCGAGCAGGCACGGAAAAGAGAAAAGTGTTACAGACTTTCTTGGTAGGTGGTTCTCCGGAACGACGTCGAACTTTATTCGAAATGTAAACCGATATAAGGGTAAAAAAAGAAAACGTTCGAATGTCTAGCTTTATTCATCTCATCGATTACATGCAAACGAACATGATGCATACCCTCTTGCTGAACGCTTACGTGGAGTTTATTGAAGCCTTGAAGATCCACACGGAATTTTTACCAGATAATGATTTAATTGATAATGATGTGATCGATGTACCTTTGAAAGAAAATCGACCGTCATCGCATCGTATCCAGGTAAATTTTATCGTGAGAAGATAGCGCTATCTTTTTTTTCTCTCGGGACATAAAAATACTAATCTGGATATTATACTTTCTAGTCGCCATTGTTCGTGGTGGATCTACTAATTCTACCTCCCGCGGAGATCGTCATGGACCCAGCCGAAGCCATTTTCCGCTTCGTGATAAAAACCATCCAAATCATGTGGGAAGAGAACATATTCGTCATCAAGCCCCTTCTCTCCGATCCCTTCTTCCATTCCTTCACCAGGTATGAAATCTATTACCTTTCCCAGGCGTAGCAGACGAGATAATTCGTCGACGTAATACATACGTGATCTTCTACGCATTTATTCGAGGCCTATGATCAATCACAAAATAGAAGATCGCATTTGCGGCCATCCACCGGATATTCAGGAAGTCTTGAAGCAAGATCCGATCACGAAGGAGTTGAAGATCGAGTTGGACGCGCTTCTCGAACGGAACTTCGACGCTATTAAACGTTACACTCGGCGGTTCGAGGAAATTCGACGGTTCTATCTCGAGGACACGACCTTCGATGAAAATGTCATCCGCGACAATCGAGATTGCAAGTTGTTCCGAGAGTGGAGTATTCGATACAGAAACGAAGTGGATCTGATCGGTAAAGTGATCGATTCTCAGCCACTGGGCGTCTTCCTCGTCCAACTAGAGCGATTCAAGGTGGCTGCTCAAATCGCTCCCAGAGGGAAGATTGGAGTCATCGAAGCGGTGATGCCTGGGTAGGTTCACGAAGACAGAAGTTTCGTAGCTCACCGGGATCGTAAGCAGCCTAGTAACTAGTCGTAACTAGATCCCGCTGTCGCTTATCGTTTCATTGCTCTCCTCTTAAGTCTTTGTTGTTTCAACGTATCTCGTTCTGTATCGTCTGCAAATAATTATGCAACTCCTTGCATCTATTTCTGTCGAACCTATTTCGCATCAATTTTATTTTATACTATCAAGCGTGTCGTTTTTCATTAGGCTAGGGAAGAGCAGAGTCGACGAACTGTTAACGGAAGCGATCGACGCTGTAAATTATCTCAATTCCGATCCCGTGACGACGGAAGAATACGCGGACTATATAAAATTCGTCGACAAAGCTCGGCAGAAAGTGGACGACATGGAAGCTCGGTTGGATTACGTGAAAGAACTGTACGATACGATGGAAGAATTCGCTTTTCCTATACCATCGGTGGATATGGCGAATTATCTGGTATTAACTCGACGGTTATTTGACCCTTTGAGTCCCAAGGAGTGATATAGTAAAGACAACATTGGCTGAAGAAATGCAAGATGGCCACTAAGGGGGGTTCCCCTTTGACGCTCGATGTAATATGATCCTAACCGAGATATCGATGAGACTATGTACTATTGTCTCACCGATACGCTTCTGTCGGCTGCTTTTTTTCCTCGGAACTCTTTCTGTTTCACTCTCTATCCTTTTCTACGTTCGACGCTCGACTCGAGCCAAATCTAAGCTAAGAATAGAAACTGATAGAAATCTCGACTGAAGAACTGCAATGTTTCGGTCCCGATTTTCTTGCACTTCTCGGCTATACATCACCTGGCACCCAAAGGGTTAATTAGCTTCTTTCCACGCAAGTCAAACTTCATTGAAACGTCGCGTCTATGTGCAGGGCATCGGGGCACATTTCACCAGTATGCGATTAGCAGTGGAAAACAGGTTAGAGGAGAGGCCGAAATTGATAAATAGGTTCAACGCCCAACTTCAGAAGGATATCACGGCATTGAACGAAGAGATATCGGAGATTCACGACGAGATTATCGTAAGTTGTAACGAGAAGTGTTTGTAAGGGTCTCGTTGTCATGCGCGTTTATTTTCTTTACAGCAACCTTGGTTAGTGGACTACGAAAGCAACGTGGACGCCTGTCTGAATACGTTGAAGGAACTAGGCGAACGAATAGCTACCTGCGCGGCTACCACGGAAACGTATCGTGCTTATCAAAGAGAATTTAAGGTTACAAATAAAATCAGACAATTTGTCTACTTTGTGACACATTGTGTTACTCTGCCTACTTTGTACTACTGTATTCTACTTTTGCGCCACTTTGTGACATTTTGTTCCACATTGTGCCACCTTGTACCACATTGTGCCACCCTGTACCACTTTGTGTCACGTCGTACCACTTTGTACCACCTTGTGCCTATTTTGTCTACTTTCGTTTCATCGCAGCTCGAGCCAACGAGATTCGATATCCTGGACCAAGTGACGAACGAGCTGAGGCTGCGTGCCCTCCTGTGGGAGAGCCTGACAGAGTGGGAAAACGCGAGCTACGAATGGTACAGCGCCGACTTCGACACCTTGGACGTCGAAGCGATCACCTCGTTCACGATGCTCACCATGAAGAACATTATTCAACTGGAGCGAGGCCTGCCACCTAACAACATCGTACCAGACCTGAAGGAGAACGTCGAGCTCATAAGGAACAAATTACCGATTCTCGGGTACTTGAGGAATCCCGATCTGAGGGAGAGACATTGGGAGAAGATCGAAGTTATACTGAACCACATCTTCAAGCCCGACGAGAAGAAAACGTGGAGCCAGTTGGAGGCTCTTGGCGCATTTCTGAAGCCGAACGAACTGATGGAGGTCGCTGCCGCGGCCAGCTCCGAGGCCAATCTGGAGTACATGCTGAAGAAAGTCGTGGATACTTGGGAACATCTGAAATTCATCGTGGTCCATCATAAAGAAGGAAAGGACGTCTTCATTTTAGGCAGTTTAGAGGACGTTCAGACAGCAATGGACGAAAGTAATATTAATTTGCAAACCATCAACGCGTCCCGCTACGTGGGTCCCATTCAACATTTGGTAGAGAAATGGGTCGAGAAACTCGATTTGTTTACCATCACCTTGGTGCGTATTTTTTGAATCCTGACATTCTTTTTTAATACGTACGGCTAATTCGCTCGGTGCCTTCTTTCCAGGAAGCGTGGCAGTATTTGCAACAGCAATGGCTGTATCTCGAGGCGATATTCTCAGCACCGGACATTCAACGTCAACTCCCTTTAGAGGCTAAGCTGTTCATCGAGGTCGACAAGTTTTGGAAGGATCTTATGAGACGAACACACAAGGTCAGGCGAGATCCAAAAATTCTTCTGGAGTTAACTACAATTAACGCGATAAATTTCTAGGCGCCTTTGGCCATGCCTGCCTGCACTCAACCGGGCTTACTGGAACTGCTCGAGGAGAACAACCGCCGACTGGACGAGGTGATGAAGTGCTTGGAGGCTTACCTCGAGACGAAACGCGTGGCGTTTCCGCGATTCTTCTTCCTGTCCAACGACGAGCTTCTGGAAATCTTGG